TAGTCCCAGATCAAACATAGCCAATGTCCACACAATTTTGTTAATGGGCATTAATTTCCTACCTTCCATCCTGACTCAGCTCCGGTCCCTATTAATTCTCCCCTGCCTCTCTCTCAATTCCTCCTCCTTCTTCTCTTCCTCCTCCTCCTCTGGATTTTATCTTTCATTGTTCAACTTTAAATGGAAAGGTCCATGGAGAAGAGACCTATTTTTCCCCATTATGGTATTCTGCTAAGTGGCGCGCATCAAACACTTATTAATGATTGTAGTAGCCCTCTCAATCACAAATAAACAGCGATAACTTTACTTTTACTCACATATGTCTACTACTTCAAAGGAGGCCAGAGCAATGAAAGCAGACAGTAAATTTCTACATAGACATTATAATCGCCACCTGCAGTCCCTTCAAATAAAAATACAGAGAATTAAATGATGATCATATAAAGCAAGTCATATAACACTTGCATTTCCTCAGGAAATATTCCTTCAGGATGACTTAATACTATCTTGAATCTGGAAATGATGATCTCATAATTATATCACTGAGGCTCCAATCCTAAATGCACTTACAAGAGAGTAAATTCCATTAATAGACTGGAGTTTATTTTTGAGTAAATGAGTGTAGGATTACCATGCTCATCCGGAACACCAACAGTGCAACTCTTCATATGTCTTCCCAGAATTGCTTCCCACTTTTGTTTGTGAGAATTTACTACCACTTTAAGGCATATTCCTATGGCCAATTGCCGGCCACAAGCCTCACTGAACTCACTAGATTTTACTTCTGAATAGAAGCATCTAGGGTTATGTTGTGGTAGCATAATTAACATCACCTAATAAAATAATCTAGAACCTTCTACATTACGGAAATAACACGAAAAGTTCTTGTCTGCTTACCAGTGGATAAGTCCCATTGAATTTAATGGGGATTTCATCTAAATAGAGAAATCCAACATTATACTGTAGCATAAGCTTTCATGGACTAGGAGGTACTCTGTCAGCTCTGGGCCACAGAAACTTACGCTACAATAAATCTGTTAGTCTTTAAGTTGCCGCAAATTCACTTTCTTGTACTTTTTGCAACAGACTAACCTGACTGGAAATAGCAGGAAGTTTCCTCTAATTAACTTCAATGAGTTTCATTGTGCAGAAGGTTGAAAATGCATTGTATGTACACAAGGGAAAACAACTAAAACTTTTATTTTTAAACAACTGCTTTGTTCAATAGAAACAAAACATTCCATGTGAGAAATCTTTGTTTCCAAATACTGATCAAATTAGTCTGAATCATTTTAGGCACTGCGGAGCTGAAGTGTGTACATGGGTTACTTCACATACTGCTTCATTTCTCAAGAGGTTCAAAGGTGGTGTTACACATTTCAAAGTTGCATGACCCAACTGCAGACAAAGTGCTGGGAAGGGTGCTGTCTACTGGTTTATTAACTCTTATGGAACCATCTTCAAAAGAATAGTAATACTAAAAGTTTGAAAAATGGAAAAAGACCCACAACACATGTATGGCACCCTGACCAAAATTTTAGAAAAGCTTTTATCCATATTGCAATGTTTCAAAGTGACCTTTCACAGCTCCACTTTTATGCCTGCACAGACTTTATTCCCCCGCCCCCACAACAGCTTTGGAAGTTTTAATTCTTTAGGAAGAGATAACTTTTGGAGTTGAATTGCATGCACTTTTAAGGCTAATAGTATTTCCAAGGACAACCATTCCCATGCTCGGCAAACCATCTAACAATAATCTTCAGAAAAGAAATAAAATATGTGGCCTTTAAAATCTTCTTTCTGGGCTGCATTGATAAGACTTGCCAATTTCTGATATCTTAAATAAGCATGTTACACTTTTACATCTGATAATGGGTTCTCTCTGACTCAGTGCACATGCTAGGAAAGTTGAGAACTATGACATATGTGAAGGGCAGAAATACATATGTGTCCTGTTATTAAACACAGGGAAATTTTGTCTAGCATAACTTGCATAAAAGATTTATATTGGTGCAATTACACTTAAGTCAGAAATGGTCAGCAACAGAGAGGCCCGTAATTGCTGCAGATGTTCTCTTAGGTCAGGGGCAGAATCATAAAAGTAGGTTAGGGTGGACCTTAAGACTGGGTATTAGAATATCCCATAGGAATCATAGATTAATTTGAGAAAGCAGTTTCTCAGTATTATGGCAATGCCCTTTAATAAAGAAAATTGCTGAGGAAAACCAAAGCTTTAGAAGTTCATTTTTACTTCCCAAGGTAAGACTTACTAGCTCTTTCAAGACTGCAATCCTTGGCACAGTTACCTTGGAATAAACTTCAATGAACACAGTGGTGCTTACATCTGAATACCATGATTTGAAATAAGGTTATAGATGTTGGAACCCTGGGGCACTTCAAGAGAAGTGAAAGCTTTAATGTTTAGTGGCTCCAGTATACAGTTTTGTGAGTCCAGTCTGCAGGAAATACTAAAGTAATGTGAAAACAAGTCAACTGAAACTTATACATAGAAAATGTACTAATCAATGAGCATTTCCTGATCAGGTTACACTAAAGGTCAGTAGAATGTATCCACTATCAGAGAAAAGGCACGTCATTAAAATTATAGTGTGACTGTGATGCTTAATGAAAATTTTAAGGGGGGAAATGATGTAAAGTGACTGAATTTGAGCCAGACAAATTTGGCCAGGCTTTAGTTCTACTGATATTGATGGAGCAAGCTAGTCATAACTGGGATTCTGGGTTGGATCCAGAGTTTGCCTGTCATAAGAGAAAGGAGCCATCCATGAATGGACAGGCTCTTCTCATGGAAGGTTCCTCCACAAAATTTTGGGGGTTCCTCCATCTCCCCACTCACAGGACAGCAGACTCTCTATTCAGCTGACTCACCATATTGCATTTTCAAGGTACTGCTGTGACAGGGGCTGCCTGGGGAAGAAAGGTGTGGGAAAGTCCACTTCCAACAACACAGTGGCTTCAGAGTGAAATTGCATCCATCCCTCAGGCTGCACCCAATGCAATGACAAGTACAGCGGGTACAGTGCTACCCAGCTTGAGTCTTTGGGACAGGGTGTGTAGTAGTAAAGTAGTACATATCAAACTCATACCTTGTTCTAAAAACTACAAGCTATAGCCCTTTCCTTTATAAAGCTAAGCATACTCTTTAGTTTTTACATTCCTCGTGTTTCACACCTGAAAACAATATTCATTAGAATACAAATTTATTTTAAAATCATTGCTTTACATCAGACTGCATGGAAATAGATTTCTGCCAGCATTTACTAGATCCTCATAACTCAGAATTGCATTGTCTCGAAGTGTCAGAAAGTAATCGTAGGACATATTTGATGTTTTTATTCATCATCATTTCATGCTGGATAGATGCTTGCTATATTTTTCTCTGAGCATTGCTTCCTAAATTGTAAGAGTGACCTCTAGTGCTTTGCAGCTTCAATATAGTTCCTGAAGTCCTATTTTTCTGAAGATTTAATCTGTCTTCCTGCAAGCATCTGATTTAATTCTGTACATGGTACCAAATGTTTTCAGTGTGCGATTCATTTATTGATGGCCTTTTGAAAATGGGTGTTTTGATGAAATGCATGAATCAGAATGATGATTTTAAAAACTGGATAAATTGCTGTAAGGTGGCTTATGCAGAAAACTTGTTATGCCTGGTCAGAGGTATTCTATGCACTTGTATGTCAAATGAGATATCATGACTAAAAGACAGCCAAAGATCAGTTCAGTCCTGTGAAGCAGATATGATAGCATAGTCCAACCCCGAACCTTTAAAGGACACAGCACCTGATGAAATCACACAATTTCCACTTTCTTCATCTATTGCTCTGATGTTCTCAAGCAATTGTTCCTTCCAACAGTGCAATAATGTTATTCATGAATTCCTGCTAGTCCCTTCTACTATACTTGCTGTTCCTTGCACTGTTCTATGCACTGCACATCTGGGGACTCCATTGAAAGAAGTGTGCAAATGTTAAAACAAATATTGAGAGGCTAGTTAAAGTGTTTGCTGCAAAATTGCCAGTATAGTTTAATGGGGCTTTCAGGACCCTGGGATCAATTACATGGTATGAAAGAAGGAATGCAAATGTTAGACAATGATATTTTTGTGCATACCAAAGACATTCAGATCTGATTCTGCCTTGGAAGAGATTTATCTCAAATCTCTAACAGATATCTGATATGTAGGGTTCTCTCTAAGTTCTAGAGTTGCATCGAGATTTCCCTTAGAGATTTCCCTAAACTGCAGGTTTCATTAAAAAAAAAAAAGTAAGAAACATCCTTGCATACCACAGCTACTATCCTTCTGCCTGATCACACCTGAACATTTACTCTTTCTGTAATCCACGAACATCCACAAAATCTTGTTTTCCACATTTGCTCCTTGTCTTTTCAGCCATTCATTTATTTATAACCTTTCTACACTGCCCAATAGGTGAAGCTCTCACGGCAGTTCACAACAACCTTGCTACCTCTGCCGTGCTCTTCTGCTCTACAATATAGTACACCAGAGTTACTTCTTAATTCAGGAGACAGAGGCTGCTACCTGGCTGCAAAATTGTACGCTGCTAAAAGCCAAGGTGATGCAGTGGAGAATGTCAGCATGTCAGTTATCCCCATGAAACTCCTTGCAGAATATGGTGCTCTTATATGGCAAGCATTAAATAAAAATAGAAAGGAATTACAGCAGAACATGCAGTTAACTGGCAAAATGTGGATTTCTTATTATTTTGCAGTCTGGCTTAATCCACAGTGACTCTGCTTGCAATCTGGCAACAAATGGTAAATGATAAACAGGGAAATCGACAGTTTATCAGCCCCCGAAACATTTTCATCTCATCTACTAGCTACTGTTAAGATTGCAGCAGTCCTGATTTATTTGAAGAGCTGCATTTTCAAGTCTGGATCTCATAACCATAATAACCCATAAGTTTTCAGAACAGTATGGTCCTCCAAGTTAAATATCCATCTGGAATACTTACATGTGTTTCCTGCTGCTAATATATTCCAGTGATGAAGTGGGAGCAGAAACAGCAGCTTGAAGAAGATTTCAGCAAAAGAATCCATGTTCTCTTTGACCGAGGCACCCTGAAGTGTCAGAGTCTTAGGAAACAAGCACAGCTGCGGTGCACTCCAGTCCTGTCCCTGCCGCCTCTCTCCTCCTTCCTTTCTGTGTCTTTCCCGGCTTCCCAGTAGCCAAATAGCTCAGTCAGATGCTCTCTGCATCTCCACACAGGCACAGGCACACACGCTCGCTCCACAAATCTGCTCTTTCCCCCACTAACCAACAGTAGTCCCCGAAGAGCGGCTGCAAGGATCTCTCCTCTAATTTCACAGAATCACTCAGAGTTGAACTGCTAGACTAGCCGGTACAGTTTGGTTACTGGAGCTTCACGTTCATAATGTGTCCTGGACACCCCTTGTGGTGACAGGTAGGAAATGTGAGTCTATGATGAAAGCCAGACAATAAAATGAGCAGCTTGCACATGTGTGCCTGCACAGGCTCTCTGCTGGATTATGACTGTTCCCAATTCTTTACGGTCACGCAAGGGGAGGGGAGGAAAACAAGGAAGGATGGGGAGGAAGGAGGAGTGGACAATGATATTTGTTTTCATTATGGCCATCCTCTTCCAGGCTGCATTTAAAGACAACTTTCAGCTGCTACATCATTTACACAACCTGAGGAGAATGTCATAGTTTCACATCAGAAATGGCTATCATGCCACAAAATGGTATTTTGTCATGATGTGTGCAGTAAATCCTGCATTCAGCCACAGAATCCAATATTCGTCTTCAACTAATGCTTGGAATATTCCCTGGAGAGTATTTCTTTAATAAGATATGGAGTGAGCGCATTCTTATGAATTGCATTCCCACAAATAAGTAATGTGCTGCTTCAGAAGCTCAGTCTTGCAGTTTACTTTCCACACTCACAGCATAATTATAGGCATAAAAGTGAACAAGCTGGGGTGACTTTGTACTAAACTAATGAATGTTAAATTGCAGGCACATGAAAAAAACTTTTGTAAGGGAGTGTTTGAAAATCAAATGCAAACATAAATAACTATTAAATAGAACTGTGTCAAGATACACACAGAGAGTGGAACCTGTTTATTAGGTATCTTTCCATACTGGAGTCATCCACTGAGTTATCTTGTATTACTACTGCTCTTTATCCTTATTCCCAGAATAATTATTTCCAGCTGTCTTTATTGTGTAAAATAGCACTAGATTAAGTTGGAACAATAAAATAGCATAGTTAAGAAATGCTTTAATGCAGTTTTATGGCCCAAACCTATGCATATTTACTCAACAGTAAGTCTCACTGAGGTGAATGGTTCTTATTTTCAAATGATATGCTCGTTGAAATCCTAGCACAATGTATTTGGCCACAGTTCCTGTACTGAAGTTATCCATGGGGTAGCCAGTTTAAATGGCTTGTAAAAAGACTGAACGAGAGGAGGCACCAGCAACATCATCATCAATGAAGCAAGAGTAAAGGAAGACCCTTGAACTGGTGCTAGAAAACAATTATGTTCTTTTATGAAAGGTGCCCAACACTTACCAACCTTAGGTCTTCCTCAGGGTCAAAGGGTTTCCTTGTCAGTCAATTTTGCTAAGATAATTCACTCAAGAACATACCATGTGCTAATCTTTTAGAACTATTCCAACCAGTGTTATGGTTTATTTCCTTGTTATCATAGTTTTCAGTAATATCAAGGTCTAATAGACCCTACAGAGAATACTTATAAGAACAATCATGAAAATAGAAATACACACAAAATTGAATACGCATAAAAGCCAGCAAACACATGAATAATCCCTTTCCACAATATCATGTTATATTGTTATATTCATATGTTGATTCATATATTCATATTTGATTTGTGTAGTCCTCCTCCTTTAAAATAAACTAGTCCAATAGATAACAGTAGTTATCACACTGGTTTAATAAATGTAGTAACCTAATCAATGTATGTGTGAATTGCATTCAGAAATGGAAGCATACATAGAAAGGAAATACTTGGACGCACACAGCTCTAGTGGATGATTAAGGCTTTGGTCAAGGGTGTTAACTTTTAACAAAGGAATGATAGTAGCAGACAATGTCCCCCTTTCTGTTTATTTCCAAAATACCATAGAACAGCAGTTCATCATTTCCTTGGTAGCTGATGTCATCTTTCTGCCAGAAATCATATTTCAATGTTTGCATGCTATACTTTTCACTTCTTTCCAATTCTTCCATCATTTGCAAAAATTGCTATTATGCAAGCTTTCTCTTCAATGAAGACACTAACAAAGCCAAGAGACCCACTTCCTGTGCAAAAGGGATACCAAATAGGTGTCATTAGTCATATGACTAATGGGTTTCCCTTCACAGGGTTTCCCTTCAGTGAAGACACAAAGCCAAGAGACCTACTTCCAGTGCAAAAGGGATACCAATTAGGTTCCATTAGTCATATTAGGTTCAGTTTCATTCAGTAGGTATCAGTGGCAAATGGTCACTTGTCCCAGTCCAGCCATTTGGTGTTGTGGCTGGAGCAATGGATTTGGACCATGGGCGGTTGCATCCAAAGTTCTGCTCAGCCTGAGCACTCACTGCATGAGCTCAATACTGTCTCTTTCTCAGGCTGCCTTACCACATAAGGCGGTGGCAGAGTAAAGGGGTTGCTATCTGTGCTACTCGGAGCAACTCAGAGCAAGATTTCACTAGACTTACTAAATTGGTGCAGATCAATGATTTGTGCTTTTGTTTTTAGACCCTGGAATTGGTTAGATTCTGAATTCAGACAGATTCCACTGTCTGATCCCTCTCACATCCCATTTCTGCCCTCTGGGTCCCCCCTTTCCTTGCCCTACCCTATTTCCCTTGATCAACAATCATTCAATAGTTTCCCAGACATTTTAAAAATTTTGAAATTTCTCTTAAGATTTAGTTGACATCTCTGAGATCTTAAAGCTAGAATGAGCTGACATCTTTTATTACGTTTATATTTTTGCAGTTTTTGAGAGAGTCTGCAAAGCTGGATGGTGCTCTGAGGCTGAGATGTGCCACGACCCCTCATTGGTCCCAGTACAGAGCTTCAAAGTTCACTGACAACAATATGATTGTTGTGTCTGAGCGTGTCAAAGTGCACCATCTTCATAACTAGAGATGATGAAGCAATGCATATCTGTTAAGTGCTATATATTACTGCTGCACATTATTGCCCCTTTATTATATATTATATATATTTGCTTAATTATTTCTTCCCCCACCATCAACCCCCTCAAAACATTCTACAGCACTTCAGATAAGTAGTTCCAGCTTTCAGCCTAATTAGTTGGAAAAGAAGCTTATTCAAAAATAAATGTTTGAATCTCTGCAACGTAAGGGGAAAAGGTCTATGAAACCCTCCATAAAAGTGGACCTCCATATTCACAAGAGTATCCAGGATACATTATTTATCTCAAAATGCACATAAAAATAGGCCGAACGTAAAATCCGTGATGAGGATTTTCTGTGGAGCAGTGTTCTTTAAATTTATTCCTAAGGAATAAATAAGGATGTCATTACTGCATACATTATTATTCTGGTATTTTAGAAAGTGCTAACATTTGTTCTATAACATGACCAAGATCAATCAAATCAAATGCTCAAATGTGAGGGAGGTCACAGGTCTCTCTTTGAATGAACTGCTGATCAATACGATCACCCACCTAGTTTTATAACTGGAGAAAATGCCCTTTTTTGTACCACAGCAACCATAAATATCTTATCCACAGAGTCTCAGCAACAGATATTAAAAAACAGGTATATCTGGCACTCTGAGGTTCACCATTATGATCCTTCTTCAAATTCTGTATGATTCATAAAGTGAAGGCTGGCTGATAAGAGCAAAATAATATTTGACTCACCTTGATGACTATCTGCCCTCATCTCAACACACACACAAACATACACACCCCACACTCCCTTTCTCATTGCTCAAGAAGCTATTTAGCAATCCCTTTCAAAGCTCTCCCTTTATGTCTTACATGAAATGTGTACTCTTTGAAGGACTCAACTTTCACCTCTACAGGCTTGCCAAACCTTAAATCTCTTTTTTTCTTTTCCCCTATTAAAAGACCTTCTTACTGTCCTTTTTGTAGTTCACTGACATTAATCATCATGCCATTTAATGTTATCATTGTGGCCTTTATTTCTATAAACCTTCTACAGGAAAATAAAAAATCCCTTCTGTTCCGGAGAATGTTGCTCTGTATTTCTTTCTATCTCTCAAATCATATCATTGAAGAATAAAATGTATGCATCCTAAACTATCCTAACTGTATTTGGGAACAAAACTTAGATCTTCCATCTGTTTTAACTGTGTCATAGAGCTTTTATTCTAAATTGGGATTAGGAAGAAGACCTTAAAAAAGGAGACCTTGTGGACATTTAGGCATGGAGAAAATATTAACTGAGGTCACATTTTATTGTGAATGTGCCTGATTGTCCTTTGAAATGCATACTACTCCAAATTTTATGATGAGGGTGTCAATCAGTGTAGTAACAGGTAGCGGGAGATATGGTATCTGGTGGAGGACTAACCAGGTAAATGGAGCATGGCTCAGGAAATTAACAACTGTGCCACGTTCTGGCCCTTCTCCCAACCACAAGTTTGGTGGTTGCCCTATCGGCCTGTCCTCAGGTCTCTGGAAGCTGCTTTCCAATGCCAGATTGGCTGCCTCATGCACTATTAAATCATGGATGAGGGGGAGGTCTTATTGTGCACCAATCTAGCATGCATAACCAAGCTGTGGGTGGGTGAACAGGGAGGAGTTATTCTCTTCCAGCTTTGCCCACTTGGTACAGCATCAAGGTAGACTGGAGGGCCAGGAAGAGGAGCACATTGCTGTGGTCTTTAGGAATTTTATCTCTCTCTCCATGCTCCCTCTTCATCTGTTTCCTTATCTGGAGTGTTTGAATCTTGTGCTGGGCAAGCAGGACAGATTGGGAATTTTGTTAGCATACCTTCCATCATGTGATCCAACAGTATCTATACCTGAGAGGACAGAGGTCGCCTTGGCTGTCATGTTGAGGT